GGTACATCCGCGCGCGCGATGTCCTGTCCTCTCGCAATTCCAACATTTTATGTTGCTGGCGGAATTGGGGATAACGGTAGCACTCGTCGATGATTCGGTAGCGGCAGCGGCAGCCGTAGCGGTAGCGGTAGCGGTAGCGATATCAGTAGTTGCGGAATTCACGTTCGGGGTTTTAGCGGCTTTCTTCTTCTCTTTCCTTTTAGCGGTAACATTAGCGGTAGCGACGGTAGCGGCGTTTTTATTTTTACTCTTCGGTGCGTGATATGCCAAATCCGGAAAGAGGGATTGTTCCGGTAACGGGAGTCGGTAGTGTTTTTCGGCTTGCAGGCTTCTCTCCATGCGCGTGGCTAGGTATTCGAGAGTCGCGAAGTCTCTAAACTCTTGGCGTCGAATCGCTATTTGCATCCGCGATAGCACGTTTCGGTGGGCGAAGTTTAATTGTTCTTCCAGGGCCCAGGGAGGCGACATTCGACTCAGCAAGGCCCTTAAGCAGGTTAAGTAATCGGCCGCGGTCTCGTATTCCCCCTGCGTCCGCCTGAATATTTCATCGCGAAGCGCGTACTGGTAATCGGGATCCCCGAATCGCCCCCTCCATGCTGCTTCAAAATCATTCCAATCCCGCCAATTTCCGCTCTCCAACCGTACCCAGTACAGCGCGACCTCCAATAAAAACAGCGGCAAACACTTGAAAAGGTCCGCGTCGGAAATGGGGACTATCGCGCGTGCTTCCTTGATTCTCAACAGGAAGGCTTCCGCGTCGTTACCCCGTTTTCCCGAGAAATGGAGGTTCCATTTCCTCATTAAATTATAAGCCTCTGCTGTTGAGGCCCTCCCCGGACGGGAACTAGTGTGAGGCGCTGCCGCGGACTCACGTTGGGGTTGGCGGTATCCGGTATTCCCCCCCGCGATGTCGTCCAATTTCACCTCTGGCCCCCCCAAGGGGGGTGTGTCCCGCAGATCGGGCGGGTCGCCCTCCCCTAAGAGGTCTCGCGCCCTCGCACCACCTTGACCCTCTACGGACATCGTGTCCTCTTCCTCCTCTGTTTCCCCGCTCCCGCGCGTCTCGTATCTGAGGAGCCGTGCCCGCAAAACCGGCAATATCCCCTGGGCACTCAGGCCCCGATCTAACAAGTGGCGACGCGCTTGACCGACGCTTAATCCCTGTATCCACTGATGGGGATCGCTATCCTCCCTCATAGGGCCAACAAGAGACTTACCGATTAGCGAAAATTACAACAAAAACAAAAAAAAAATAAACGAGGTAGTTAATCAAATAAAAAGAAAAGAAAATGGCAGTAATAACGGTAGTAATAATATAATAAGGTAAAAAAAAAGAAAATATATAAAAAGATCGAGATAATATAACCAAAGAATAGATTCAAAATCGAAAACGGTACGGGAAAGAGACCGAAATAAAAATAAAAAAAAATTTTATTTAAAGTCGAAACAACACGGCAGAAGTAGGAATAAGAAAACAACAAAAAAAAACAATATAAGAGCCAGAAGGAACAAAAAAAGTTAAAAATCAAAATAATGTTTCGAAATCAAAACGGTACGGTAACGAAAAGGAGATTCAAAATAATATAGGTGACGGAAAGAAAACAAAAAGTCAAAAGTTAAACAATACAGCGAGAAAAACAAAGAAATTCAAAAAATCAAACAATCGGATAGCAGGAAGAAAAAAAAATTCAAAAATCAAAACAATATGTTATAGGAAAAGATAATTTCAAAAAAAAAAAAAGTAAAAACAACAAGGTATCATCAAAGAAATTCAAAAATCAAAATAATAATATGGTACAAAAAGAAAAAAAACTAATAATACTAAGGATAATGGTACAGAAAGGAAAACAAAATTCAAAAGTTTAAACGGTATATGAAACACAAGAAGTCTAAAGATCTTAACGGTAATAATAAAGAAAAATGAAAATCAAAATAAGTCTCTTGTTGTTCCAAGGAATGGTCGCGGGTTTTCAAAAAAAAATTTTTTAAATTGTCCCTTTAGATTCTAATCACGGAGCCACTAACGGTATTAAGGTAATGATAATAAAAAAAAAATCCACCACACAAGATTATCGATATACGGCTAAATAACGGTAAAATGATAATAAAATCGAATTTTCGGTATCGGCAAGAACGATAAACGAACGGTAAGCGACCTAAATTCAAAACGAAAAAAAAAACGCAAGTAAATCCTATGCAACTTTGAACGGTAATTCGGTAATCTTATACGCGAAGCACACAAATTCCAGGCCGCTTCCGGCCTTAAATTGCTCTTAACTTACCCCAGCCAGACGGTACGTTTGATACGGGACACCAGAAAAGCAAAAAAACACTGCAAAATTTTTAACGGCACAAGTACAATAATAAAAAACACAACACTGAACAAACGATTTTTCGGCTTCAGAAAGCCAACGAGAACGATTCCTTTTTCTCTCTCTCTTTAGCTCTCTCCCAAAAAGGGGAAAAAAAATCCACTATTTTATTCGATTTTATTCGGTATCTTCACACGGCGTCGGGCCCCACGTTGGGCGCTAAAATCTTTGCGACGTCGTCGCCCGCCTCGGGAACGCCGCTCCCGAGGAGGTAGCGTGCAAGTTTGGCGGTGTCAGTAATTGGCGGTATCGGGATCTTAAAATGGCGGTAACGGTATCTTAAAATAGCGGTAACGTACGGTAACAGAATCTCCAACAAAAAAGGAGATAGGTTATGGGCGCCAGGCGCGGTATTTCCGCGCCACGATATCGAAACGGTAACGGCAAGCTCAGTTTATGGCAGAGGGGCAGAGTTCTTTGCGAATTATTTACCGTAAGGGGGAGAGAGCGCTAGATTATCGTTAGGAGAGAGAAATGATTAATACTCAGTTATTTGATTCACAAATAATTACATATATTGTAAAGTTAAAGTACACACACAATTAACAGTATAATCGAATTTAATGTAAGATAAATGAATTTAATATAATCGAGATAAAATCGGTAAAGATATCGGTAAAAGTACAAGAAAGCAAACCACAAATAAACTAATAACAGAAATCAGCTAAATTTCGAAAGATAACGGTTATTATAAATTTCGGAAACAAAAGCCGCGTTATAACGGCTGATGCGAAGGTCAGATACAACGATCTCTGAAAGGTTGCTTGAAATATCGATTCTGAGTCGGCAATAACACAAAAAGGAAAAACGGTATTGAAATAGTTTTAGCCTCTCAATAATTACGGTAACCGAAAACCGTGAACATTAGCGGCGAAATATCTAACAAAACTTGAGGACGAATTACGTCCAATTTCGGCTCGCACGTCGAGACGTTCGTCTCGCTAACAGATTTCGGTATAATTATCAATTAGTTTTGTGGCGGTAGTCAACGTAATTAACGGTAACCAGAGGTACAGGAGTTTTACGATCAGACGATTATCCGCGGATGGTTTACGAACACTCCTGGAGGCGCGAGCCTCGTGCTAAATATCGATATAAATCGAACCTAAATTTTCATACAATTTTGACGGTAACGTTTACGACCAAGAATAATTAACGGTAGAGAACAATAGACAATTACGAAATGAACCGAATTCTAACTCAAAATAGACGGTATACGTATTTTATATAAGTTCGATATAACTCGAATCGAACCTTTTCTTACGGCAATTAACGATGACTTTCGACAAAGTTTTGATGAAAAACAAAAGTTTTATTTAACGGTATTTTCAAGGAGGTGTAGACGGAAACTGTTTACCCGATGTAACGGTCGTATCACGACCTTTTGTTTCGGTAACAATAGCTCAACGTTCGCGTAACGGAAATTTCAAACAAGTGATACGGTAATACTTTTCGGCGGAGATTTCGCGTAGGGTAATATTCTTGCAGAGCCGTTCTCTTAATTTCGGTAACACACGCTCGCGAAGAAATTACTCGCTCAAATCCCGCTTTCCGGTATGCGATATAAGTAGTGATACTAGGAGAGTTCTAACCCAGGTCCTCTCAGGGGGGGTGAGGCGCGAGGGGAACCGCGGTGCGGGGGGAGTGACGTCACGCGCGGGGAAGGAGGAACCGCGGCGCGCGGTGGGTGACGTCACCCGCGGGGAAGGGGGATCCGCGGCGCGAGCGATGGACGAGGGGGTCCGCGAGGTGAAGGGGGATCCGCGGCGCGAGCGATGGGCGAGGGGGTCCGCGAGGTGAAGGGGGATCCGCGGCGCGACCGATGGGCGAGGGGGTCCGCGAGGTGAAGGGGATCCGCGGCGCGACCGATGGACGAGGGGGTCCGCGCGGTGAAGAGGGATCAGTAGAAAGAAAACGGTGTGTGAGAAGGACAGCGCAACGTATGGGAAAAGGACAGTGCAAAGTGTGTGAAGAGGACAGTGCTACGAGTGCGACAAGGATGGCGTTAACGTGGAACAAGGACGATGTATAGGTGGGAGAAGGACGACGCAAAGGTAAGTGAGCAACGAGTATATTCTAAGTGAAAGAGAGAGAACGATAATATCGAGAATAACAACGCGTGCGAGAGAGAACAATAGCGCAAGAAAAACGCGAGTGAGAGAGAACGCATATGAAAGAGAGAACGATAGCGCCAAGACGACGTGTACAAGAGAGAGAACGATAATATCGCGAGACTTACAATTAGTGCGCGTGCGAGAGAGAACGATAATATCGCGAAGACTTGCAACTAACGAGTATGATAGAGATAGCGATACTTAAAACTAGCGCGAGAGAGAACGATATCGCGATGCTTATAACTAACGCAGGGATGGGAACGCATGGAGAGGTGCGTAAATAATTAGATTTTTTTACATCAAAATATAAAATATAAATTTATTAAAAATGTGTATGTGTGTATTTACAATTGTGTGTGTGTGTGTGTGTGTGTGTGTATGTACTTAAAATTAAGATTATAATAAAATAAAATATAATAATAATAAAATAAAATATAAAATATATTATAATAATAATAATTTGGGGGTGCGGGGGGGGGGCCAGGGGAGTCAGGTGAGGGCCGCTCCTGGAAGACTAGGGGCGATGTGTTGGGCTGAGGGACTTCCGCTCCTGGTCCTCTCGTCGACCATTCATATACTCTCGTAAACTCTGAAATTAAACACAATAATTGTAAATGTTTTAAATTTATTACACATTAGCAAAAATATTTTTACCTTCAAATCTTTCAAATCTTGCAGTAGCCTATTCTCATGCTCAGCTTCTTCGAGTTTTTTTATGTCTTCATATAATTCAAGTTGTTCAAGTTCTTCACGTAGTCTATTTCCATAACATTTTACTGCAGTGTGATTAGGATCTTCTTTTCTATACCTGCACCAACTTATGCTACAATTGTCAACCGAGTTCGCCCAATATTTTCGAGATTTGAAAAATCCTGTCAATGAAATTATGCGGGGATTTTTCAAGCCGAGCTCTCGACTTCTTATAAATTGCGCAACTGAAGTTTCCAGATTCCTCTTCAAAAGTTGTTCCCGCTTATACTTAAGTAATTCTTCAACACTAGTTTTCGCTCTCCTCTCTCTCTCAAACTCAATTGTTTCCGCCTCTGAAGCAATCCAATCATCCATATCTTCATTGTCAAAGATAGAAACGTTTTCTTCAGCCATAATAAGAGATCAACGAAACACACAAGACTAACAAAACGCAAAGAACAACGAAATAATATTCTAATGTCGCAGACTCCTCTTCATTATATATCTTTTTAATATCTCGCGTCTCATCTACCTCAGCATTTCTCTACATCTTTGGCGGAGCGTGTTGAGAAAAATTGTCGACTATTCTTATTCGTATGGAAGGAAAGAAATAAAATCATAGATTGAATAAAAATAATTATTTATTGCACGCATCGTAAAGAATATCATTTACAGCACATGTTAATAATTCGCAATCGATCAATGATTCGCTGTCAAAGACATCACTCTCGCGTATCGTTTTTACAGCATCGCATACAGTAGTAATATTATTACGTTGTAATACAGTTTCAAATTGTTTAAATTTTTCATTTACGAGATACGTATTCTCGCATAACCAATTATGCATATGATCGATACAATTTTCAAAATTAAATAAATGTAATAATGTTTCTGGTTTCATGTACAAAGAATTTTCGCATAATGCAAGTTTTACAATTTTCGATTGATACATTTCAATCGTTAAATCTCCAATCCTTAATGGGGGAGCAGTCGATTGTAGAAATTGTTCAACGTCTGCTTGCTTCCGCATCAACAAATTCCACGTTGAAAAGGGCAACACTATTTGATTGCTTCGATTATCGCCGAGAATCAGTTCCACGTACGATACAGCTCCAACGCTTATTCCAACGTCCAAATACTTGTACGACGTCGGGGTTAGAGCGCACCTTCTTCCAAGTATGCGAGCCACACGACGAGGCTGAATACTATAAAAATATAAATAATTATACAACAATATTAAAAATCAATAAGTAACAAATTTTTTAAACGATTTAAACTTACGTATCGCATTTTTGCTTCTTACACGGTGGAGTTTCACCGTTTCGAATCGGAACGTAGAAATTCATATTTCTTCAGCGGTAAACCTTTCACACGCGCGATTGATGCAATACTGCAATCGTGTTAGAATCAATATCAATTCAAATAGTATTCCAAATTATGATGTAGAGGGGATTATTGCTGACGCAACATTTTAATTTCCTCCAAAATTTTGTCGCGCCGATGTACGGCTGCGATGACATCATCATCTTCGGAACAAAGATTTAGCTGAATTTGCAAAAATCGAGCGCCGATGTACGGCTGCGCCTGATGCAATCATGTCAAAATTATTCAAATGTACGTGACAAAACGGGAAATTTTCAAGGTTAAAATGTGTATCATCCCTAGACAAAGATTTAGCTGAATTTGCTAAAATCGAGCGCCGATGTACGGCTGAGCCTGATGCAGTCGCGTTAAAATTTTCAAATGTACGTGACAAATAGTGAAAAAATAACTGCCAAGGTTAAAATGTGTATCATCCCTAGACAAAGATTTAGCTGAATTTACTAAAATCGAGTGCCGATGTACGGCTGCGCCTGATGCAATCACGTTAAAATTATTCAAATGTATGTGACAAATAGCGAAAAAATAACTACCAAGGTTAAAACATGCATCATCCCCAGACAAAGATTTAGCTGAAAGCGCTAAAATCAAGCGTCGATGTACGGTTGCCCCTGATGCAATCATGTTAGATTTTTCAAATGTACGTGACAAAACGTGAAATTATCAAGGTCAAATTGCACACGGTACTACGGGGAATTTTTTGTAAGGTGAAATCGTTCTAGAATGTTCGATGATAAAACAATACATGAGACGGTATATAAATCATGATAGAGAGACGCACCCCACCAGTAGCTAAAGTGCATCAGACCTGTCATTAGAAACACTAAATTTTGCAAGTGTACGTTAGCAATATGGAGGAGCAAATTTTGCGAGAACAATCCGCTTTGCTTGATTCGCTGGAAAACTACATTGTGGGAGCAACGATGCGACGAGTACATTGAGTCGCTGGAAGAGCAAAGTCGAATCAAACGGCCGCGATTATCGATCGGAAATCGACAATCACTTGCTCGGATCGCGCGCATCGAAGGTTTGAAAAATTCGGTACGTGGACGTTTCGTACACGCGGGTGCCGGATGTAGTGCGCGTCAAAATGCACTTGTGTGGCGCGAAATTGATACGGCGTTCGAGAGTCGCGTATCGACTGGTGCGGTGATAAACTATAATCACATTGAACCGCGCCGATTTCTCGATGACGCTAAAGACATTGTGTTGGAACATGTGCAGGACGCTTAAAAAAAACACAGCAGTGTAAAAGTGAACACTATATTCAATGGTGAATTTGTGTCGGGTGATAAACACGCGAATAAAAGTGTGAATACGAGAAACTATGAACTCTTTCGCACATCTGATTTACGCGAGTGGTACGAACGGCGCGTTATCGAGTCCACCCTAGCGTCTCTCGAAGAGTTTCAGGAACGCGATAGCGGGTGGGCATTGTCGCGAATACTGAACTTGACTGTAAATATAAACAAGTACAATCCAATGCGCGCGGGATGCCACATTAAATTGCCGCGGGAGATTATGATGAAGAGAGCGGTGGTTAACGTGCAATCAAAGGACAATGCGTGTTTCGCGTGGGCAGTGGTCGCCGCTCTGTATCCCGCAGAAAAAAAGGTGGAACGGGAATCATCGTACCCGCATTACGCGACAGTGCTGAATCTCCGGGACATTGAGTTTCCAGTGACTGTGAATCAGATTAAAAAATTTGAACATGCAAATGACATTTCAATCAATGTGTACAACATCGAAGACAAAAACATTGTCCCGATACGTCTTTCGGACCAGAAGCGGGACAAGCATGTGAATCTGCTGTACATTGAAGATGACAACAGCGTGGGACATTTCGCTTGGATCAAGAATTTATCCCGGCTCGTGAGCTCGCAATTGAGCAAACACAATGGCCAAAGATATCTGTGATCGGTAAGTTTATTTTATATTATTTGAAAATTATAATTCATATAAAAATCTTATGATAAAAAATTTTTTTCTTTTACAGATGCCTTCATTATTTTGGTTCGGACGACAAGTTGCAGTCGCATACGGTCGACTGCGGAAAGCTAAACGACTGCGCTGTCCGATTGCCGAGCGACAAGGACAAGTGGCTCGAGTTCAGCAACCCTAATCGGAAGGAGCGGCTTCCATTTGTGGTCTACGCCGACTTGGAATGTGTCCTGACCAAGACGAAAGAAGAAAAATTATATCAACACCATCGGGTATTTAGTTTAGCTTATTATGTACATTGTTCGTACGACGACTCATTATCAACGTATCATTCGCGTCGTAGCGTTGATTGTATAGCATGGTTCGCCGAAGACCTTAAAAATTTAGCAATTCGCGTTAAGAATATTTTAAAAACAAATGTCCCCATGGTAAATTTAACATCCGATGAGTGGGAGAAATTCCATAGCGCCACTCGTTGTCATATATGCGAAAAGCCGTTTGCGCAAGACGATACACGCGTTCGCGATCATTACCATCTGACCGGGCGGTACAGAGGTCCTGCACACTCAAATTGTAATCTAAATTATAAAGATTCTTTTTGTATTCCGATAGTGTTTCACAATTTATCCGGTTACGATTCTCATTTTATTATCGAGGAAATAGCCACAGCGTTCGAAGGGAAAATCGAGTTATTACCGATAACCAAGGAAAAATATATTTCGTTTACCAAAAGTGTTGATCTTAAAGAAGAAGAAGAATCAAAAAATCAAATAAAATTACGTTTCATCGATTCATATAAATTTCTTGCATCGAGTCTCGATAAATTGGCATCATTTTTGGACAAAAATAAACTCAAAATTTTAAAATCGGAATTTCAAAATTTATCAACAGAAAATTTCAATTTGTTAACGCGAAAAGGTGTATTTCCGTACGAATACATCGATTCCGTCGACAGGTTGCATGATACGTGTTTACCATCGCGCGAATCATTTTACAGTTCCTTGACCGGTGAAACTGTATCCGAGAGCGATTACGCGCACGCCGAGAACGTCTGGACGCGATTCTCCATTCGGACGCTAGGCGAATATAGCGACTTGTACCTCAAAATTGATGTCTTGTTATTAGCCGACATTTTCGAAAACTTTCGAGATAAATGTATCGAAAGTTACGGACTCGACCCCACGTATTATTATACTTTCTCCGGATACACGTGGGACGCCATGTTGAAGTATACAAAGATCACGTTCGAGTTGCTTACAGACATCGACATGGTTATGTTTATCGAACGTGGTGTACGCGGTGGTCTGAGCCAATGTTCGGGTAGATACGCTCGCGCTAATAACAAGTACATGGAGTCGTACGATCCATTGAAACCATCATCATACTTGATGTACTTTGATGTAAATAATTTGTACGGATGGGCAATGTGTCAACCGCTGCCATATGCTGATTTTCGATGGGTCGACGATGTGTCAAATTTTGACGTATCATCCATCGCGCTAGATTCGCCTACGGGCTATATCCTCGAAGTGGATCTCGAGTACCCGCAACATCTTCACGATGCGCACACTGATCTACCGTTTTGCCCGACACGCGACAAACCACCTGGCAAGCGAGAATTCAAGCTACTTGCAACGTTATACGATAAGAAGCGTTACGTGATACACTACCGCAACCTGCAGCAGTGTACGCGGCACGGCCTTCGTGTAACAAAAATACATCGAATTTTACAGTTTTCTCAATCTCTCTGGCTTCAAAATTATATAGAATTAAATACACATTTCAGAACATTGGCTA